GCTAATGGTAGGGAAAATGCTACTAAACCTTGCCCTGTTTTCCTCTGGTGAATTCCTCCTGGCATTTCCAAGATGTTTTCTGTCCCCCCTCCACCGTGGGTGCCTCTGCACAATAGGGGCTTTGTTTGCCGGCCCAAGCCACCAGGCTGGCGCCGCTCTATCTGCCTGTGACCTATTTAGTCAGAAATGGGTAAGTTAGCTGCTTTGTGGAGCTCTGGTTGCCGGTGTGGCACCATTCAAGATCTGCTGATGTTGGGAATCCATGGCTGCATAAGAAGTTGAGGCTCAAATTTGCTTTTGGAGGTCTTGATCGTTGGTACGAACGAGTTGGTTGTTCACAATTCCGTCTTCTCCACCTGTGGAATAAGGAGACGAGCCTGGGAGAGATTGATAGTTTGGGAAAGTAACTTGCTGCTACCAAGGACTGCTTTATTTTTACCTGACTATTTTCCTGGGGCTGCAAAAGGTTGGGAGGTTGGTGTCTCGGAGACCATTGGTTCCATCAGCACCAGACCCCGGCTGTGGTGAGGACCATCTCTTCCTGTTTGGTCTCAGTGGCGTGGCTGAGCACAAAGGCTCTCGCTCACCRGAGGCCAAGGGAGAAGATGCGGTTGTTGCTGCAGAGCTGGGAGGAAGCTGCGAGGGCCATGCCCTGGAAAGAGGAAGGGGAAGCGTGGAAGCTCCCAAGCCCTGCTTATCACGGGCTCTTTGTTATCTAAAGCCGTGGGAGGCATCAGCTGCCTCCCAGAACGGGGACTTCCAAGTACAGATAAACTTGCGCCTGTTCTTGGCTCGTTGACTAAGCAAGGTTGAAATCTCTGTGATGTTTAGATGAAAGACAGATGCCTTGTTCTATGTGAAATTCTGGTTGATGACAAGTGTGCTCTTGTACATTGCATAATGTTGTCTTTCCTGTGTTGAGTTGACGTTTGCGTAGAACTGGGACCATCATTTTTCATGAAATTTTCATTAGTTATGAGGAAGTTTATTCCAGGGGATTTTGTGAATCAGGTGAGTGTTTAAATCTTAGAGTTTCTCAAGTGTTCCTAGCGCAGAGACAGTGGAGGCTGCTCTACCTGACTCATTGCTGTCTCGGTTCAGGCCTCTTTGGGGCAGATGTGTGTAGTCCTCTTCCCTCATTCCGTACAAACAGCAAGGATTTGGCTTCCAAGTGGGCTACACGTGGCAGACGCCAGCTCTGTTCACTTGACCAGCTGCAAACACTCAATAATAACCTCGTTGCTTCTGTAACTGGTAACATCTAGAGGAAATTCAGAAATATACCTTCCCTTCTCGAGAATGCTTTYGGTCTTTTTGTTATTAATGGAAGATAACTTAGACTTTTTCCTTTTATGCAGTTTTTACTTACTATCTGATACTACAGATTCGATATATAAATTAAAATCCTAGTCAGTGCAATGAGATGAGCGTGTCTCATTGGTGCAGCAGTAGCAGTGAGTGTACGTAACACACTTTTTAAAAGCACTTCTGTTCTTCACTTCACAAACCCATCACCCCACCTGGAGAGCATGTTGTGAGGCTGAGCACTGTTGAGCAGGAGGCTCATGAGGCTGAGCACTGGCATGTCAGCCCTTCTTCCCCAATGGAAGAGTCATGGGAAATGACTCCCATGTACAATGTGATCACATGTACAATGAGTACAGTGAGAAAGAGCAAAGGAAAAAACATGGCATAAGCTTCCTTTGCAGTTATAAATAACAGCCTATGGTCAAATGAAATAATCCTGGAATTAATGACCATCAACTAGAAGTCCCTGGAGTGGCTGGATTTTAATCTGGCAAATAGTTTTGTAGAAGAAATTGGAATATTTTCTTGAATAAAGCTAGTCACARCCTAATTTGTGTGATCTAGATATATTTGACTGACAATTTAAAAACGTTTSTTAGGTTTACTGGGGACACTGCAAAAAAAATCAGAAATGCATGAAAAAAACCGCAGTGTCTGTAAGAACTGTATCAGCAGTGAGATTCACTGTATTCTCTCAAAACAYTGGGTTTGATTTTTAAAGCCTTGCATGTTGTAATCCTCCCAGTATTATGCTTCCCTTTGTTTAATGTTTTTAAAAGGTCCTGAGGGGTGGGGAGTGTTTACCACTACTGAAAAGTTAAYGTGATAAAGCAGCAGTGAAGGCAGACTCCTTGTTTTAACTGCAGCACAGAACTGCACAAGTCAGACCCGTGACCTCCCTCGATAAATGTACTTTGCAGTAAACTGAAACACCTTATCTTAACTCTGATTTACTTCAGCAAGGACCCACAAGTAAATGCTTTTAATGTTTGTTTTCCCCAATCRGGAACAGAAACCCGAATGTTTTCTCATGCAGTGCAATGGGGATTTTGATGACGGGGGTGTTTTCCAGATTTCCTTGGGGAATTGTTTTCTTGGAGAGAGGGAAAGCTTTATAACRTATTTACACAGTGTTTTGTTGGAATAGGGGAATTTTTTTAAGGGGTAGAGGTAAATAGAAGTTCCTTTTTCTCTTTTAAATGAGAGCTGACATCAGATTTGGTCAGCATTTATTTATTTAAAAAGTCCATGTTTCCAAAGTRTATGTTTCCCCACCCCCGCTCCCACTTATTGTAGTCTTTCCTGTGCTTTAACACATTTTTCTGTGTTGTAGTCAGCTTTAAGCAGTATAGGAACTCCCTTCCCACAAGGAATCTGCAGGCTTTAGAGGATAAATCCAATGTAAGAMGTTAAACCCAGTATAAGACATTTCAACCTTGCAACAAAAGTTGTTTGGGGCACACAAGCAATTTGTYTAATTGCAAAACAACTTATAAATGTTTCTGAAATAGTAAATGTGTTCTAAGTGAATGCAATATAGTTAGCCAAGATGGAATGAATAGATAAATAGAATATGTTCCACTGTTATGCTTTTAAGCATGAGAGTCCCCAGTTTGTTTTTCTTAGGCCTTCAGAGATGAACAATGCTACTTCTAAAGTCATTGCTTCTGACCATGCCTGAAAGCCTAGATAATTACCTACTGAAATAAAATAGGGGATGAGTTTCTAATGTTATCCTTAATGTTATCCTACTGGTTTAGAGATGATCACATTTTCTCAGTGCTGCAGAAAAAAATATTTTATCCTCTAAAAGTTAAGGAGAAATAAGTTTGTTGCTGTCTTTCTTGGACATGGACTCGTCTTTGGCCCAGGGCAGTGCTGGGAATGCGCAAGGAGAAGGCAGCGAGCGGTTGCTTTGGCAGCATCTTGGTGCCACCACGAGAGGCACCAAGAAACACTCATTATTTTTTTTTTTTCTTTTTTTTTACTGCTTCATGTCCCCATGTTCAGCATTCAGCTGAAGCTTTAGGGGGAAAAAAATCCTTAAAATCTATGATAAAATGAGATTGCTGGTAAAGCTGAACGGCTGCTCACCCATAGCACACACAGTACCCACCCAGAGTGCGGTAGGACTCTCCTTTCTGCTCTAATGCTGCTGGCTGCTGTGTCCGGAGGGCACATGGAATGTGTGGCAGTGGGTAAATAGGCAGAGCTGCTGCCCCTTCTGGGGGCAGTTTCACTGAGAGGAACCCCGTCATGCAGCTTGCATCCTTAGAGCATCCTGAGGTGAAAGAAGGTGATAAAACAGAGATTTTGGAAGTTCAGGACTTCAGTTCCTTGTTTGAATGTATCTAGCTCTGTCTCTGGATTTCTGTTCCGTGAGCAGATGACATGCAGGACTCTTGAATCTGTTTCTGCAAGGAGGGTGGAGGCAGAAGGACGTGATTATTTTTATAGGCCAGTTTTGCCTCTGTTGTAATTGGAAGAGGAAATAAAAATAGTTTTTAGTAATGTTATGCACTCTTGCCTGGATATCTACCTCACCCCAATCTGAAGGCAAAAGAAGGTATTCCAGATGCTTCCTCGTTTTGGCTGATGGTGCAGATTAGAATCAGTTTTATTGTCCTTTCTTCAGGGATTTCCCRATGGATGCAATAAAGTGCCTGAAGGCAGAGCGTGTTTTCCAAGGTGTAAAACATGTGAGGAAGTTTTGATTCAAGTGGTCACAGGTCTTGAGCGAGGAGGTGCTGATTCATGGCCGGGCTGGGCTGTGGGATTCCCGCCAGCCCTTGGGAGCTGAGGGCCGGCTGTGACCTCACTGCTCCCGGAGCTCTAGGCACCACAAACCAGCAGTTTAGGTGCCTTTATTTATTTTTCTTAAGCAATCTTTTCAGACTTTTTTTCAGARTCTTCTCTTTTTCAGAGTTTTTCTCATCAGGCTAACAAAGCTTCCATTGTTTCAGTGTTGGTAAATGAAGAATATTAAATCATTTAAAGACTTTGCGTTCACTCTGGTACAAAATGCTCTTCACAAACTTGTTACTACTAAACATCTGCTATTGTTGAATAGTTAACATTAAAAAGTGCATTTTTTTCCCCTTATTTGACACATTCTTCAGCACGGGCAAGTGCCATCATTTTTGAGATGGAAGACCCTTCAGCTTTAGGCTTGTGAGCATGCTCATGGCTGTGCCTTGTAGGCACTCAGGACAGAAACATTCAAAATTGGCAGAAGAGCAGAAGAATTCCTGTTCCCATAGCAGTCAGTGACAAAATTCACATAATTTAGGCAGCGCAATATTTCTTCCAAAAGCAGTAGTACAGACTAGATTTGACAGTGATTATCAAAGTGAACAGGACCRTAATCTAGTATGAAAATCAAGCATCTTAAGTATGAGATGCTCTTTGTGACCTTGACAAAGATAATATAAATTATTTGCTTTTAAAACAAATCAATGTTGTATTAATGTCTTGTGTGTGCATGTGTATGTATATATTTTTTTAACTGCATTTGTTCCTAGGTATAAAATTGAACTAAAAAATCCTCATTTTGAGAATATTACTGTAAAAGGAGGATAATCTCCAGTGTACTGTTTTCTGCCTGTGTCTGTGCATCACATGTCTGTTATTTGTTTTTATTCATGATGTACAGTGTCCTGTGAAACTGAACTTCTTTTTCATTTTCTTTTTAGGCAACAGAGATTTTGCTCCTGGTGATCCTCTGGAATTTAAGTCTCATCAGTGGTTTGGAGCCTCTGTGAGATCCAAAAATGATAAAATTTTGGTAAGCCAGTGATGCCTTTCAGATGTTTCAGTGTAAAAGGGTTCAGATGGTGTCAACATCCTCTGGATGGGTGGCAGGATAAATGTGCCAAAACTGGGGCTTGGGGAGGAAGTTGTTATTCTAGGCATAGCTGGAACTTCGCTGTATTACTCCATTCCCCCCAGCATTTTGTAGAAGGATTTGTTTTCTCTCTGCCSTGTCCTCCTTAGGCCTGTGCCCCTTTGTATCACTGGAGGACAGAAACRAAGCAGGAGAGGGAGCCCGTAGGAACCTGCTACCTGCTGGATGGGTCTCGAGCCGTGGAGTATGCGCCCTGCAGGTCAAGTAAGTCCTCTGCACTTGTTGGCTTTCTCTTTGGAGTTTCCCTTCTCTTATAATATATTTTATGTACCTTGGAAGACATTTTGCTTTTTAYAGGTGTTTCTCCCTTTCGCATGTAGCATGCAAATAGAAACAATTAGAAAAAGTGATGGCAATTAGTAAAAAGCCCTGTGCTGTGTCCAGGCATCTGGATTCTCCTCCAGGTGGTGTTCAACATCCAGACCTGCTTACTCCTCTGCAGGCAAGAGCAAAATCTGGATCCAAATACCCTGGGAAGTTGAGGACACTGAATTTTCAATTGACTATTTAAGGAGTCATTCTGTCACTCAAACTGAGCCCCTCCCTCCTTTCTAATCCTATTGGGATGTGACTGTTTCCCTGTAGTATGTGAAATGGGCAGAAATTGTTACAGTGTTTTAGCTGATGCTTTTCACTGCTGTGTGAATTGTGCAACGTTAGAACAGCATATCTGGCATCTGATGAGAAAAACTTCTGGAAGTGCTCATAAAAAAAAAAAAAAAAAGCAGCTCTAGAATTTCTGAAGTTTAAACTTTAAAACTTTAAACTTTAGAACTTTAAATGRGTGGTCCTTTTGGGGAACAAGACTTTGCACAAATAAGTGCTTATTTCCACTGCTTCTAATATTCTGTTGCTAATTTTCACTGTTTACTTTTACAGTGTTAGAACATCTGTTAGACCAATGCTGAGGTTGCAAAAGCTTTTGGTTGCAAGTTGTTGAAGAGAAGTTACAGATTTAGAAAGTAGAGAAACATCTTTAGAAACATGAAAGGAGAAAAAATTTTCAAGGTTCAAATTCAGCAGTGCAAAGTTACTTAAAACTTTTGTTTCCATAGAAGTATCTCACTACCAATACCAATACTTATTTTTTTCCCTTTCCTCCTTTTTCTTTCTTTTTGTTT